ATGATCAAAAAAGTTTATACAATTTATTTTATTTTTTTTTTTTTTTTTTTTTTTTTTTTTTTTTTTTTTTTTTTTTTTTATAGTTCAGAGCTTGACTTGGAATTATAGAAGATATAATAGAAGATAGATAATGTATTGGAATATTAAATGCTAATCTCTATTCTTTTTCTTTTTAGTGGGCTTTTGTCCTACACAAATGAGCGCAATCCTGGTAGATGCACACTAGGGAAATTTAAGCCACTTCTTCCGTTATCGTTTGGGTCATGAGCATCGCCATCTCTTCTAAACACAGAATTAGTAGTTTCAACAGCTTGATTTGTGGCTGAAGCAGTATTAGGTTCACCACTAGAGCCACTGGCACTTGAAACTTGCGTGGGATCCTCCATCACAGCATTAACATTATTATTAACGGCATAGTACCAAGCACCGTTCTTCTCGTCAGTATATACTGGGTCTTTCCATGCCATTGGGTCATTTGGTCTTGCTCTAGACCAAAACCTAGCTGTTTTATCCGATCCAGCAGAGCAAAGAAGATGCCCCATTGGGTGATACTCTAACGCATGAACTGCCCTTTCATGAGCATAAGGGATCTTGTGCACTGCATCGATCGATGGCGTTTGACTGGTTACATTACTTGATAAGGATCTCTTTGGTATTGAATCGTTTGAATTTGGAATGTAGGAATTCAACAAGTAATGGTTTATTGACCCGTTGAATGCTGCCGTGGTGAGTAGTGACGCATGCTGTGGATGCCACGAGCAACACGATAAGTCGGTCTCCGAATCTCTAATAACCAACATATCTTTCATCGTAGTTAAGTCAAACACACGACACGACCGATCTCTCGAAACGGAAGCCAATAGTCTTTTAGTTCCACATGGCTGGAATCTAGTAGTGTTGACGGTATGCTTAAACCCATGTAAAGTAGCAATACACTCATTGACTCTAGGATCCCACAATTTCACTAGATTATCCTTTGATCCACTTACAATCAACCCTAGATCCTTGTGCCAATCAGCACTTTTGACTTCCCAATTATGGCCAGATAAACTTCTTTCCTCTTTACCATTACTAAAATTCCAAATCTTCACCAAAGAATCATCACCACACGTTAGAAACTTGGAATCATTTGGTGAAAACGCAATATCCCTAACCCCATTTGAATGGGCCATTATATTATTGACGTTGTTGAAATTAGGTTGCCAATATTTTATCGTTCCATTTTGATCGCCGCTTAATAGCCAGTCATCGTTATTTGAATATTGCATTGTTAAAATTGGACTTTCGTGTGCTTGCATAATCGTTTCAAAATTAAATGTCATACCGTTCCACAAAGTGAATTCCCCAGAATGAGCAGCCACTAGCAATCGCCTTCCTTCGGGAGTCCATTTTACTGTGTTTATGCTATGTTTTACTTTACTTGAACTCAAATGAACAAATTTCGTTTCCAAGTCTAATATACCGAGATTGTTTTTATTGTTTCTTCGATTTCTATTGAAACTTGATGAATATGCCATCGTTGGTAGAAGATCAATCAAATAAGAGCTTTCTGGTCGTATTGCTCCAATTGGTTGCTGTTGTCTCGTGTTTATACCCATAGACTTTTCAATGTACCATCGTCCCATATTACTACCATGATCTGTAATTCTTCGAAATGCTTGTTTCTTATCCTGACTAGCTAGTTGATGGTCTAAGTTCTGCTGATAAAACTGAGAACGATCTTGTTGTTGTCGAGGTTCTCGATTACCATATTGTGATGATTGTGGTGGTGGTGGTGGTGGTGGTGTTGATGATGATGCTGATGCTGATAGCGGCTTATTAATTCGTCCATTACCTTGTTGATACGTATTGTTAGAATACATTATGTGCGTTGAAATTTGTAGACATAAATGGATAGTAAACTTCTGAAAACGGTTCTCCTTTCTTTGTCTCTCACCTCTCACCTCTTACTCTTACCTCTTACCTCTTACTCTTACCTCTTACTCTTACCTCTTACCTCTTTCTTTGAAAAAAAATAAAAAAATAAAAAGGTCAGTTCGGGGATATATTTCCTATCACGTGACTATACAGAAAAAAGAATTGAAAAATGCTACCAAGTGACAGACCACGTTTTGCTTTGAGAGAACCCAGTGTATGTGTCATGAAACTTTTTTGCTTTTAAAAAACATCATGACAAACATTAAGGCTACAAAGGAGAAGTAAGGGGGGGGGGGGGAGAGGGTAGAATACTCGATGCTCGGCTGTTG